AGCACCTCTGACAATGTAGTGCACCCCAGCACTGCAGTAGAGTGTCAACCTAGACTATCAACTCAATGCCCCAAGAGCTCAAAGGTAGGAGCTGAAATTGGAAGGTTTAATTGTAATTGGAAATAAATCTGCGCAACACTATTCAGCAATATATGTTTGGGATATTGTAATAATTACCATGCCAAATGTCAGTGAGATAAAAATTTAAACAAGATCTCTAACAAGATATCACCACATATGGTTATTGTGGACATGCATATTTGCAACACCATAAATTTTGACTTTAACCGTATCCCTTTTGATGGCAGTTTGAAGATGATAGTCAAAAATCTTCAGAAAAGCCACATCAGATAAAAGCATTGGATATTTATTAACTGCACTGCACTGCAGATGAGTTAGCTTGCCTGGGTACAATTAGGATGCTGTTGGTGCAGGGAGGACAACCATTGCAACTAATGGAATTTATTATGCGACGATGGCAAAATGTTTAATTTTTTAAAAAATAGACAAAGAAAAGTAGCTATTTTTAGACACCAGTGAATGCTTGAGCACTTGAAAATTAAAAATCACACCAAAACAGCAATGTAATCGTGGCAGTCTCTAGAGATCCAGGTCCCCAGTTATTTGGAAAGAAACTGATGGAGTTTATGTTCAGCCAATCTGAGACCAATATACAGTCAATTCACTACGCAGTATATTCTCAATGATGTGATAAGATGCTATATCAAATGCAAGGATTATTATTATTCTCAGATGATGGGATCTGAGACTGGAATGATGGATTGCAGAAAGAAGAGGAAAATGTCTACATTACATTTTCTCCCTTTGTTTTTCAAGTTTTACCCTTAGAATACCACCACATGTTCCGAGGCTGCCTTCAATTCCCAACCACTTCTACACATTTTACAATTTCTATATTGTGACATTGAACCAAATAACATCATTACTGAAATAAAGCGTGAGCACGATGAGGGATAACTTCAGCTGTATGATGTGAATACTAATCTACTAAAATAAATATAAAAAATTTCAATAAAAATGTAAACACGTCAAAAATTATGCTTGCTGCAGCACTCAGTCCTTTTTAAACTCCATGTCCTCTTTTCACCTATTCTCTATCATACTTTTTATTTAACATAATAAATTACCTCTCTCACACGTCAATATTTAGCCTAAACTACTGTATTGTGATTTTTTATGAACCTCTTTTTTTACCTCTTTACTTTAAAATACTTTAATTTAAACTTTCTTGTTTTACCAGCATCCATTGGTCATTTTGGTTGTTGAGAATGACTTATTAAAGCAGTTTTGTTTCCTTAAATTGGTTCAGAAATTGCCTAATGGCCAATTAGCAGCAAAATGCCTGAAGACTGACAGGTCTGCATCACAACGCTGACCCTGTTAATCTCTGGCATAGAAAAGCAGTGGAAAATCAGAGTGGGCAGCTGTCCCCCCTGACTGTGAATGTGAATACAAGCCAACAGCATGAGAGCACTGGAGTAAACATGTACTCTAAGGGATCAACAGTATAGAAATAAATACAATGTATTTCATTGAATGTAATTATAATAAGCATAAACGTTGTATTAAAGAGAAATGACGGGAAGGGAAGGTAAATTGAGTGTACTTTTAGTATTTTTTAAAGTGTAAGATTAATATTCACATCATAAATCTAATCCTGATTAGATTAACATTTGATTAACTTTCATACGATATTAGGGAGTTCAAAGCCTTGCAATATGTAAATTTGAAATGGTAGAAATCTGCCTGCCCCAGTATTACAGGCATTCAACAATAACAACAAATTACATCTGTATAGCGCCTTTCACATCAAGAGGGTGTCCCAAGGCGCTGGACACACAGGGATCCGCACCAGAGCTGGTGGTTGGGATCTGAAGGGTTGTAGGGCAGGGAGCTAAAGGATAGGAGGATGACCGAAGGCATGATCGAAGAGGAGTGTCTTGAGACGGATCTTGAAGGAGGCAAGGAAGGGGGCAAGGTGGAGGGACTGTGGGATGGAGTTCCAGAGGGTGGGGGCAGAGAGGCAGGTATCTAATATGTCATCAAAGGATTAAAGCAATCATCACTTAGTCCAGTTAAAGCAGCTTTGATAGGATAGCATTTATCTAAAGGGAATCTAAATTATTTATTAATCCCATTTATGGCACAGGTTGACATCCAATTGCTTAATTGCTTACTGCAGAGAAATCTAATAGTATATTGATAAGTCTATACAATACATCAATCACAAAATTCCACAGTTTGGTTGTCAAATGATCAACCAATCACTCAAATATTAAAAGAACTCTTGTTCTTCTAGTTTGGGTTATTTTGTAAAAGGAAACCATAATAAGGAATCCACATCTCATAACCTGGATTCCCTCTCGTTACCTCACAGTGACCCACAGGAACTTTGCCCCCACCCGATCTGCTTTCAGGGCAGAGTTCCTGCAGGTTGAGGGGTATTCCAACAGGATTCCTTATTAGGAAACACAGAAAACTCGCTGCCTTTAAGTTTCACCTATATATAATATGTAATAATAATAATAGTCCTTGCATTTGATAGCGACTTATCATATTGCCGCAACGTCTCAAAGTGCTTCACAGAACATACTAAAGTGAATTGACTGTGTATTTTGTGGGAGAAACGCGGCAGCCAATTGCATACAGCAGTGTCCCACAAACGGTCTTGGAATGAGTGACAATATTACTTTTATTTATTTTGCGGTGGGGATGGGTGGCAAAGGAGGGGAAAAAAGAGGGGTTCTTTCTAAACTTTGGTTGCGCTGATCAACAAAATACCTTACAAGCTCACAGGCATAGTTTAGCCATCCATCTCCTGTGCTCCTGCTCATAGCTCATTCCTTCCTCCTTCGCACGCTATCATCCCCATACTGTACCCAATGGTCCCCAAGTCAAAACCCTAAATGGTAGGGTTGTCCGAGCCGGATAAGCAGCAGGAAAGCTTGCCAGAGAGTGTTCTCAATGGCAAGTTATGCTGTTTTAGCTGATTAGACTCCAGAAGTAACCCTAACGCACACTCCGAGGTCCCCAAGCCTCGGCTCTTGCCAATCTGGGTCTAAAACTCTGGAATTAGATAAGCAGGATGCGTCTCTCCCAGGGAGAGAGAGAGAGAGAGTGCATTCTATTCCAACAATCTATCTCTGGGATTTCCATATGTGGGTTTGGATGCATGGAATTCTCAGTTGAATTTGGAGACTCTTAAACATGGTAATGGGTTTCCGCATGTGTCAAACTACCGGCTGACCCCTCAAACAAGTAGAGCTGCTTACTTTCTTAAGATTCGTCATCTGTTTAAAGTTCAAGTCAATTTTTATTTAAGAATTGATAATAATCCTTGCATTTGATATAGCACCTTATCACTTCTTCGTGCTTCACAGGATTTACTGTGAAATTAAGTGACTGTGTATTTGCTGGCAAATGCAGCGGCACAATTGTCCCACAAACAGCCATGAGACGAGTGACCAATTTTATCTGGGGGATTGTTGGCGAGGACACCAGGAGAAACTCCCTTCTCTTCTCGAATAGTTCCATGGGATCTTTAACGTCCACCTGAACAGCAAACAGGGCCTTGATTTAATGTCTCGTCCGAAGGGCGGCACCTCCGACAATGAGGTGTCAGCTTAGACTAAATAAGCTCAAGTCCCAATATGGGATGTGAACCCAAAACCTTCTTACTCAGAGGCAAGAGTGCTTCCACTGAGGCAGGCCGTCTTTAATTATTACACTCAAAGCCTTCTATTGCAAGGTGTCAGGGGCCAATGAATTACCCCAATCCTTTGGTTCAATACCATTTGCTCAAACAGTATTTATAGTCAATTCACTTTACAGTATATTCTGTGAAACGCTTTTGCGACGTCTCGGCGACTTGCTAAGGCATTATATCAAATGCAAAGATTATTATTGGTGTTACTACATGTTTTAGCAGTGACCTATCTGCCTTCAGTCCTGTCTGGGATGCAGCCCGATTGCAAGAAGATAACCAAAGTTGACCTGTTGATTTGAAGCCTGACAGGTAGCTCACTGGGAAGCAGCACATTGAGTGGACTGGACACAGACAGACAGACAGACAGAGACAGACAGATCGACCGATCCCTCTGTCCAGAGAAACAGGTCATATTTTACTCAATGGTTAATGCACCAAATACACATCCAAACCAAAGCCCTTCTTGCGGCAATATCAGAAGAAAGCGACTTTTGTGGGTTCATGCAATTTACTGCAGCAATTTGCCAATCCTTTGCCACCCAACATGTGAGATGCGCTGCAATATAAGAGGAAGAGAGGGAATGCAATGGCTTTCTCTCTCGGCGAATGGCTATTGCGGCTCCTTGTGTTGTGTGGACTGGACTGTCCTCTCTCTCTCTCTCTCTCTCTCCTTGGCTGACTGAGCTCCAACAAATCGGTGACCGATTATCCGCCCCCTGCAGCCTAGTGGAGCACACACACACACACACACAGAGAGAGAGAGAGCTCCAGACACTGGCATAGATACAGCCTCTCACACACACACACACACAACACTGAGCTCACAGAGCAGTTGTAAACAACAGTGATCTGAAAGTCAGTAAAACTTTCCACAACTACTCTCTCCCTTCTTCCAACTCCCCTCCCCATCCCACACACACACACACCCACACACACACACCCCCCCCCACACACACACACACACCCCACACACACACACACCCCACACACACCCCCCCCCCCACACACACACCACACACCCCACACACACACCACACACCCCCACACACCACACCACCCCCCCACACACACACACCCCACACACACACCCCCACACACCACACACACACCCCACACACACACCCCAAAATATATATATATACATAACACTACAGTCAGAGAAAGAGAGAGAGAGAGGGGGGGGGGGATCCACTGGGAAAACTCACTAACCATCAGCTTCCTGCTTCATCCTGGAGTCCTGAGTAAGTGTGTGGTGGATGTTCACGTTGGACCCATTTGCTCTCCCTGTCATGAGAGCTGCAAAGCGGAGTGTTGGGCAATGACTCCAGTTACCCGGTAAGTCAGTGTAACAGCTGTGACCCGCACACCGGTCCCGCTCTGCCCTTTTTTGCCTTCAAACGTGTGAACCTCATCATTATTGTGCAATGTGTATTGGTGTTGCTAACCACTGGGGGGGGGGCAGAGGGGGGGGGGGGGCAGAGGGGGGGGGGGGCAGAGGGGGGGGGGGCAGAGGATGGGGGGGCAGAGGGTGGGGGGGGGGGGGCAGAGGGTGGTGGGGGGGTAGAGGGTGGTGGGGGGGGCAGAGGGGGGGGGGCAGAGGGTGGGGGGGGCAGAGGGTGGGGGGGCAGAGGGTGGGGGGGGGGGGCAGAGGGTGGTGGGGGGGGCAGAGGGTGGTGGGGGGGCAGAGGGTGGGTGGGGGGGGCAGAGGGTGGGGGGGGGCAGAGGGTGGGGGGCAGAGGGTGGGGGGGGGCAGAGGGTGGTGGGGGGGGGCAGAGGGTGGTGGGGGGGGCAGAGGGTGGTGGGGGGCAGAGGGTGGTGGGGGGCAGAGGGGGGGCAGAGGGGGGGGCAGAGGGGGGGCAGAGGGTGGGGGGGGCAGAGGGTGGGGGGGGCAGAGGGTGGGGGGGGGGTGTGTGTATCAAAGTATCAACGTAACTCTTATCTGACATGAAATATAAAATGATGGCGATGTGTGTTGCTATCGCCTGTGAATTGTCGCCCCTCTCAAGAGATTTCCGGGGAGACAGCCCTCCCCTCCCCCCGGGGGGTGGGGTGGGGGGGGGGGGGGTGACAGAGGGCTGGGGAGTGGTGTGCGGGCAATTACCAGAGAGAGGGGGGACGTGTTTTATATATATATATAATATATAGATATATATGTGTAGTGTATATTTTAAAAAAAACACAGGGAAATAGTGCTTAAAAGTTGCTGTGACTGTGTGAGCGGCGATGCGCTGTAATGTGCTGTGACCCCCACTCTCTGCACAGGGAGACAGCGGCTGTGTGTAATGTGTGAAGTCAACTCACGGAGACCAAACCCCCGCAAAGCGTGAACCCACCGCGTTTACACACCTCCCGCAGTGAGCACAGCCCCCACCCCCCCACCCCCCCCCCCCACCCCCCACCCACACACACCCCCCCCACACACCCACACACACCCCACACACCCACACACCCACCCACACACACCCACACACCCACCCACACACACACCCACACACACACACACCCACACCCACACACCCCCCCCCACACACACACACACCCACACACACACCCCCACACACACACTCATCCCCCACCCACTCACTCACTCCCCCACCCACACACCCACGCACCCACTCACCCACTGCGCCTCGTGTGCGCACCTCTGGTGCTGTCTGGGTGTTGCCAGGTTGGTTTTTGGTGGAGGATCAGTTCGCCACGTTCAGGTGCCGTCACCTCACGTCTGCAAAGTTTCAGTGAAGCCTTTGCACCCCCCACCCACCCCACCCCCAGGGATTAAGGTAACGGTTAAATAACTTGGAAAGTAACCCATTTGCTCTCTCTCTTTCTCTCTCTCTCTCTCTCTCTTTCTGTCACGAGTGTTGCATGCAGATTGTGGGGGGAATACTTTTAGTTACCAGGTAAGTTACACTTGATAAGACATCTTAATAGCTATCTATATACAATACTTATTTTCTTGTTCTTTTTTTAAAAAAAAATCCAACTCCATCATTATGAAGTTTGAGCCATCAGTGTGCGGTGTATTGGTGTTGTGACCATTTTGACCCAAGGGGGAGGGGGGAAAATAAGAATCACTTCTGTGAGATCTGCGCCGATCAGTTAGTTGTGTTTTTTGCAGTCAGATCAGATCCGCAGTTTGGCTTCTTGTGGAACATAAAATATATAAAAAAAAGGGACAAGTCGGAAATGGTCCCTCAGACTTTGAGCAAGAGACAAAATTCACCACCGCAAAGCCACGCGATGATCCGTGCAGTAAGACTTTAAATTTATTATTATTGTTATTATTACATTTCTAATTGAGCGATCTCTAGTGGGATCCCATCCCCTGATTTCATGGAGAGGGGAACCCTTCAATCTATTGCCCACGTACTGCAATAAATGCCATTTAAGGCGGTGGGAAAAGTAACTTGCTCTCAAGATGCAGTACTGCTTATCCGCAGTCCTGTCTATCTGCTGTGTTGGATAAAAGTCAAGTGTGTTATGTTACTCTGTCAGATCCAAGTCGTGTTGCTTTACTCCTTTGGGTCAAACTCCTTTTATCTTACTCTGGTTAGTTCAATATTTTGTCTCGTTACTCAATTACACTTAAACCTCGTTGCGTTGCATTGGTAGATTCATACCTTGTGTTGCCCCTCTGTTGGATTGAAATGTTTTGTTGCTGTTGATGGGGATCGGGATGCAGAGTGGAATCCAGGTCGAGTTTTGTCTGAAAAGTAATAGTGTGAGTTTCAAGTGAAACCTTTACCGCACACCGCTGTGCACTCTAAAATCGCTTTGCAATCGAAAGGATGGTGTCCTTGTCCTGTTAACCGACAAGGTTTTGCTGGCAGTGGCGTGGACATTTCACCCCCAGTCACAAGCAAAAGGACTTTGCTGATTAAATCTCGCGGATCAAATGTTTGCAAATAACTCGTGGAGCGAGTGGTGGGTCTGTTTGGTCCCTGTTGCAGATCTGTGGGTGTTATGAGAGTGGTGCTCACTGACACCGACGGGGTATGTTTCCACACACACACACACACACACACACACATATATAATAATATATATATTTTATATGTAGGTATTTTGAAAAAAATACACATTGTAAAAGAAGGCAATGATCGGATGTCATGCGCCTGAAGTGGATGGTAATGTGGAGCCCACACTCACAGACTGTGATGTTGTTCGCACAAACGCACAACACACTCTCACTGCTGTGCGGCTGTCGGGCTGTTGCCAGTCAGTCAGTAGTCAGTCAGTAGTCAGTCCCACTATCAGTTGCGTGGCGATTTGCGTGTTTTTTTTTCTCGATTAAAAGTTGTCTTAAAGAGTATTTGTTGGCAGAATTAATAAAGGGGTTCAGGACCCTCTCCCCCCCCCCCCCCTCCCGGGATGATCTGGTTGAGAAGGGCAGTTGTGAGGATAGAACATAAATCCAGTTGCGCTTTGGATGTGTTTGATCGGGATGTGTGGACTGGAGGAGGTTCAGTGAGATTGGGAAATTATACCACTGTGTCCCTGGATTCCTTGTGGAAGTTTGCTCTCATGTTTCACAAAGCCCGTCTCTGTCACTCTGCTCATCTTTTTATCATCTCTGTCTGTCTCTGTCTCTCCCTCTCTCTCCCTTTCTCTCGAATTATTTCCTTGCGACACTCTCACACACTCTGGATATTCAGTTCTTATTTTGTTTTGCCTTTTCTCTGAATTTTCCTTTGGTTGTAACACGATGTTGTACATAGTCTTAACCCCCCCCCCACCACACACACACCCTCCTCTCCTCTCCCCCTTTACCTGGTCCTCACTCTGCTTTGGGAGGTGGGAAACACTTTCAAGTGTATAATGTGAAAGTTTGCACTCCTTCTGCTGTTCATCTGTCTTGACCTTGACACCCAGTTTGCTCGTTCATGGTTTATTCCGCCCTCGTTCTCCCTTTACCAAACTCAATTCCACATTCGATCTATGGATATCCAGCGGCTCTCCTGCACCACCGCCGACTGATATGATTTTTTTTTAAAAAAAACAATCTGTGAGATATTTGTCGTGTTGTCTCCAGGTTGTAAACCGTTGGCAACGAGCGGTGCATTTGCCGTTTGTGTGATTCATTTTCCTCCACTTGAACAGCTCGATCGAAATGCCACCTCGTGTGTGTGTGTGTAAGTGTGTGTTTTGTATGGATGTATGTGTGTGTGTTTTGTATGGATGTATGTATGTGTGTGTGTGTAAGTGTGTGTGTTTTGTATGGATGTATGTATGTATGTATGTGTGTGTGTGTGTAAGTGTGTGTTTTGTATGTATGTATGTGTGTGTGTGTAAGTGTGTGTGTTTTGTATGGATGTATGTATGTATGTGTCTGTGTGTGTAAGTGTGTGTTTTGTATGTATGTATGTGTGTGTGTGTAAGTGTGTGTGTGTTTTGTATGGATGTATGTGTATGTGTGTGTGTATGTGTGTATGTGTGTGTGTGTGTGTGTCTCCTGTTTCTCATATTCACGCTTTGTGACTTTGATGTTACACATTGCTTATAAATGTTTATATCTGTAGAACACCATTACAGTATAAGCTGATAACCAACAGTTTGGGGATTTCTCAGATTACTGAATGACAACCCATCCATATGATCATTGCTCACACTCCCACAACAGATATAACTCTCTCTCTCTCTCTCTCTCGTGAAGTAAAGCCACTTTGGCGCAGAATGACTTTTATCACTTTGTTACAATACAATTTACAGTCATTGAGAAATAAAACGCGAGGAAAGTGGTTAGTTAGCAGGAGGGGATCGTAAAGAAAGATGTGAATGAAGACATTCAGCTCAACTCATCACAACAGCATTTTAAAGGAGGAAGAGGGAAGCAATGATCCCAGTTGGGAGTTATGTAATTCCAATATAACAATAGTTTTCATAAGCAAGATTTCTCCAAATGTTGCAGCTTCTTTCGATCTCTTCTGCCTCTCTCTTTATTCCTTGTTTTTTTCAATTGATTTTATTGTCTCCTATTTATTTATGGTCTCTGTTTGTTGGATCTCAGCGGCTCATTTACATCACGACATTTCCTTCCCCATTCCCGAAAAGAAAACCCGGTGCTGTGGATGTGATGCGAAACAATTAAATTGTTAAGTCCCCATTAAAGTGTCAAACGCCCTGTGTGTAAGTCTTCACAAAGGTTCACACCAGAGGCGGTGGTGGGATGTATCAATAAGATCGGGATGTCAACAAACTCTCAACGGTTTCGATCAATCCAACGAAAAAAAATTGTCCTCTATATACTGTATTGTTTTATATCTAAAATCTTTGAAGATAAGGTGAGATCCGATCTGTATTGACATTCAGGTGCTCTCTCTCTCTCTCTCTATATATATATATATTTCTCTCTCTATCCCTCACATCTCTCTCTCTTTCTTTGTGAAAAAAATACCTAACTGTACATTGAAGGAAAAAAATATTAACTAGCAAAACACTGAACGATCCACATATGGGAGCTAAACACCCAATAAAACTGTGATCTCTCACACTTGTGCTGACTGTGAGTTAAGTTGGCTGCTGGCAAAGTTGCAGACTAGTGAATTCAAGTTGACCATCGCCATCACTAACCCGGCCTCACGCTACAGCATTTAGGGAAATCGGCACAGATTAAATAACCAGCCATGGGAATGTTTAAATGCATTAGTAAATAACAATTTCCCTCCCTCCCCTCAAAGTGCAGTGACACGTTTCATGTTTCCAACGAAAGCCACATATCACTGTCAGAACCAGATATTACTGACTTACCTGAACAGGGCTGTCTGTCTGTCTGTCTGTCTGTCTGTCTGTCTGTCTGTCTGTCTGTCTCTATTTCTCCATATCTTTTTTCTATTTCTCTATCTCTTTCTATATTTCTCTATCTACTTCTCTACCTTTCTATCTCTTTCTCTATCTCTTTCTCACTCTCTACCTCTTTATCTCTATCTATTTCTCTATCTCTCTAACTCGTTCTCTATCTCTCTATTTATTTCTCTCCCCTTCTATTTCTCTACCTCTCTTGTCTATTTCTCTATCTCACTATCCAACGTGCTATGGATCACTGTTATATTGAATATCTATGCTGTATGTCTGTACAGTATATAACTTTTATATCACATTTACCCATTCTTTTGACAGGAATTTCCCTGAAGTGATGCGGACAATGTAGTGAAGGATCAAATTGATTTGTGTTATTGCTCAGTGGTCGGATTGAAAAATAAAGCCAGTGGATATCTGTGTTATATTGTCAATATATATATCTATAAAGAAACGCTGTTCAAGATGAACGGGAGACCCTGTAATATTGCCCACCGGAGGTCGGCTACACCTCAGGGACAAGGACAGGCACAAGCCATGATAAACGGCCAGCAGATCCCCCCAATCAGGATACAGTCAGAAACCCCCTACCCGCCTGTAAGCAGCGTAACCCCCAGCCCGGCTAATGGCATCCTGGCCAACAACATGCACATCAAGGTCTCGCTGAACGGCTGCCAACAGCACCCGACCACCTCCACCCCGCAAAACGGCTGCATCACCCCCGAAAACAGCATGCAGCTGCCCGCCCTGAGCCCCAGGAGACAGGTGGTCAACAAGCACACCTTCCAGGTCCCTCAGTCGCCAGGCCACCCTCTCCTGCTCACTGCCAAACCCAAGCAGAGCGAGCTCGGCTGCATGTTTGCAAACAGCCACCACTTCAAAGGTAAGAGAGTTTTATTTTTATTGGTATTTCCTTTTATTGTCATTTCAGACGTTTAATCTGTTACTTTTTACACGTACTGGAGTTAAAAAGTGTTTTATGCTTGGAAGACTAGACAACTTTGGATAATAATAATCATATTTTTCTCTCACGGTTTCTATTGCCTGAGCCCAGAGAGCACAAGGGGAGGGGTGAAAGAGAAGCAGAGGCGTCATCCACCCAGAAATAGTTATTGCTGGAATTGACACAGATGAAACCATGAGCTTATTTAATGTAAGAGGCCTTGTAGTAATAATAATCCTTGCATTTGATGCAGCTCCTGATCACGTCATCGAGATGTCTCAAAACGCTTTACAGAACATACTGTAAAGTAGATTGACTGTATTTTGTGGGCAAAACGTGACAGCCAATTTCACACAGCAGTGTCCCACAAACAGTTGTGCATTGAGAGACCAAATTATTAGGATTATTACTATTTTGGGATCTAAGGTTCCCAAAGCTTTACACTCTGTTGTAGACTAATCTATACAGAATTAATTGCTGAGCATTATTGTACAAGTCTGCGTCGCAAGCGACTACTAACAGGTCGAAGACAAACTAGATGTATCTTTGTCTTTTATTCGTCTAGCAATTCCTATGTTCCTCTCAATGGAGCAAAACAATAGATGATGCATTCTGCAACTTCTGGATTTTTTTTATCAGATGGGAAGATTGTAATTTTTTTTAAAGTGGTGTTTCCTCCCTCCTTCCCTTCTTTGACCAACACAACAATCATTTTACTTTTATAAATAGTTTATTTAATTTTCTGAGCAAAACATGGTTTGAATGAACGAACGAATGAATGGATGAATAGATGATTGATTAGGAATCAACTGACCTGTCCCGATACCTAGAAAAATCCAACATGCTGTGACCTATCTATGGTGACCTTCTCACACTGCTTGTTTAAAAACTAAGTCACACTTCATAATCTATCACTGCCAATCTCGTTAATTGTTCTCTTAATAATTCCACCGCACAGAACTGGAGCCCATCAACAACTAGTGCTCACCAACATATCATTATTCTATATTATCCTCTTGTAATTGTAACAAGACCAACAACTTGCACTTATATAGCGCCCTCTACGCAGTGTAGCATCTCAGAGCGCTTAGATTGTAACTGCCTTGCAACCTCAGAGTGGTTATTGTCAGAAGAATTTTTCAGTGAAGAATAAATATACATTAACTGCACAGAGCATCTTGGCCTTGACATTAATGTCTTGACATTAAGTCAAGGAATGTCTTTCCGATGTGAAGGGGCTATACAAGTGTAATTTGTTGTTGTTGTTAACATTGTCTTAATATTCTCTACCAACTAAACAAAAATGCGACTTCAAATAAAGCTGTTCCCCCATCCCCCAAAACTCTATTATATAATTTTATAAAAAATCTGGTGATGATTTTAGGCAGTAATCTTGCTCTGGAGTTACTGATGTTGGTTATAATCTATTATCTCCTTTTATTACCAATATCATCTGAACCCCTCAGCTCATCTGGTCACAGTTGTTATTTTTGCATATTCCCACTGCAATTTACCACTGAGGTGAAGTCTCACTATCTTGCAGAGCAATCACTTAGTCTATCAGTTCTGGTGTCTTTTTTATAAGGAAACGTTTGAGGACTCCCCTTAGGTGCACTGTACTACATCAGATAATACTCCTTTGAATAATCAGGAGAACGTGATTAGAGAAAAATTACATTGTAAAAGGAGCACTTCTGATTCTTCTATTTTTCAAATTGCAGAGTGTATTAATATTATTCAGTTGCATAACTCTGAAAATTAAAAAGAGGCACATTTTAACCTTACATCACCCACTATGCTAAATAATCCTTGTAGATTACTTTAGTTAGTTACAGCACAGTTTAGGTACCCCCTTGTGTTTTTCTTACCCTGGTTTTCACTCCCAGTTTGAGAATAGTGCCAACAGTCGCAACAGTGTGAAATTTCCATTCTCCGTGCTCTTCACTGTAGATTTCCGAGAGCTTGATAATTGGGGTAGTTTTGGGTTGTTTTTTCTTGACCTGGAGTTCACGTTCACTGGTAAATGAATCAACATTGGAAGAACGCAGTTCTCTTGTGACTCTTGACAATAGTTGAAGCATGGAGCCCTTGATCCCTGTTTGTTTTCACTTAAACATGAGTCTGCAGAAATGAAAGGACATTGAGTTTAGACTATAGTGTTCTATGTGTTACAGAATCAAGTTTCTGTAGGAGTGTGTGTGTGTGTGCGAGAGAAAATGTGTGTGTACGTGTGTGTATAAGAGAGAGAATGTGTGTTGGCAGTGGTAAGGAATTTAATGTGTAATTTTACATGTTGAAAATAAACTTTAATGGCAAAAACTTTAACACTCAATTGCATGACAGTGTTACACAATTAATGTGTGAATCAGCAGATCTGTGTGATAAAATTGCCTCAATTGAATGATTCATCAGCTAGATATAATGTACGAGTATGTATAAATCTAAGGTGGATTGAATGGAAGCAACTTGTATCAATTCAGACCCTCATCAGTTTCATGCATGCATCAGTTTTCTCTGTGTCTCAGTTTTATCTTCCTGTAGGTATATTCTCTTCAGACTGTGGTCTGTTGTGTATTACAGTATTTCTATTGTATACATTTTCCCAATTTTGTTTTTGGACTTGTTCCTTAGAAGATTCCTACCACATAATCCTAATTTAAAGGAACAGAAACCTATTTGAATTTTCAAAGTCTATTATTTGTATTCGTATCGGTTGAAATCTGTAATTAATGGAAACACTAAGTTGAAAAGCTCTTTAGTTTGGATTTTTATAGTTCTTAACAGGGTTTGAATTAACTACACATTCTGTGCTGTCAGTTCAATTACTTGTAACTGTTTCATTTTGGAGGGAAAATCTGCTTCTACATGAAAGGAAAGTTATGGTGTGAGCTCAAAAGAACCAAACTTCTATGTCTCATAGTAAGGTATACATTAAAAAAAATACTGGGAACCTGGGATTCATCACAGGTCTCTAATTTAATCAGAGGGGTTTGCATGATGTTTGAATCTTCAGGGCAAAGCACAAGTAATTCATGTGATCATGTAAACTCCATGACGCACAGATTTAATCTTGAAATCACTCTTTGGTGTCTGTTTTTTGTTCAGGATATACAGAACTTGGCATTTTTGTTCCTCGGTTTTGTCCTGGGATTTAGTTTGTGTCTAAGTTGCGGTGGCTGCAATGCCCACACTGTTCATGTTATTGATAAGCAATCTCACTTGGGAGGCAGGGTTGGAGGTTATGAACAACAACAACAATAAAATTACATTTATAGAGCGCCTTTCACGTCAGGAGGACGTCCCAAAGTGCTGAACAGTCAGATGTCGGGGCCCGAGCATGGGGGAGGGGTGGTGTAGGGGTGAGGGAAAGCAGAGAGGTGGGAGGGAGACTAAAGGCACGATCGAAGGGAAGGGTCTTGAGACTGGCCTTGAAGGAGGCAAGGGAGGAAGCGAGGCGAAGGGACCGTGGGATGGAGTTCCAGAGTGTGGGGACAGAGAGGCTGAAAGCCCGGCCACCGATGGTAGGACGGGAGACATGGAGCAGACCGGAGCCCGATGAACGGAGGGAGCGGGCAGGTTGGTAGGGAGTCAGCAGGTCAGAGAGGTAGCAGGGGGCAAGGCCATGGATGAACCGTCACTGGTCTTACTAGAGGTAGATTGTGCAGTCCAGTAGTTTCATTTCCAATACCTTCTCTGAAAAAAAATCCTTGTTACATTTGGTTAAATTAAGAAATGCTGAGGTAAAGTTTGTGGTGTTTTATATAACGTGTTCCTTGTGTTAAACCCAAGAAAAAATGTGTTTGAATCTCCACAAAACTTTACCCCAGGTTTTCAATTGCAACAGAATGTTACATGTAAAGGTGCTGCTAATAGATGAGAATAGCCACTGCCATCAAAGCTTTTCATTGTTGAGATCTTTGAATATTCAATGCTATTTGCAATTTTGGAAAAGTTTCTTTTTAAATCTTGTTCAGGCAATCCAAATGTTGGTAACAGTGAAATATTATCGACAGAAATGATCTAACCTTAAGATTATGGTAATTCAGAATATTTGTTTTAGCTAAATATCTTATCAAATGCAATTTGTTAAACCTTTTTTTTAATTGCCCTTTTATTTTTGATGTAGAAGTGTTACTCCACTCAATGAAATGTAGAAATGCCCACACCTAAACTCAGGTTATAATTTTAAGTAAGTACGCACCATAAAACTGTTTACCAAGTTTATTGTAGCAGAAAGAATACAGCTTATCATTCACCACTCATTATCGTCTCATGGGAGTGAAAGGCAAGTCTCAACAATTGCTGGTATTTTGCCCCTGTTAACCATTTACCTGTTTTGCTTGCTGTATGTTTTGCATAATTGAATATCGTCAGAATGGAAAAGATGTTACTGCAGCAGCCAGTTTACATATGCACAAATGTCTAACATTCACTGAAGGAGAAAATCTAGATGGTGTTGAGATTATTTATTCTATGTGCATCAATGGGACATTCACTGACTTGATGGAAATATTTGCTACCCGTGACAAAAAATGATTTTGCACAGAAGCAACATATTTTAATAATAATAATAATCCTTTCATTTGATACAGTGCCCTATCACATCTTCGAGACGTCTCAAAGCGCTTCACGGAATATGCTGTAAAGTGAATTGACTGGATATTTTATGGGTGAAAACAGATAGCAGTATTACATCAACGAATTGCTACATGCTGCTGAAATTCCATCGAGTTTCAGCCTGCGAATCTATTTTGCCCTAAATTTAAAAAGGTAATAATGATAATAATAATCCTTGCGTTTGATATAGCGTTTTCACGTCTTCTAGACGTCTCAAAATGCTTCACAGAATAGACTGCAAAGTGAATTGATTGTATATTTTGTGGGCGGAATACCTCTGTCAATTGCGACAAACAG